TTTTAGAAATTTTGTGAGCATCCTGCAATGATACTTGCTTGGTTTCTAGCCCCATTTGCTCCACCTTTTTTCCAGACATGAGGTAATAAATTTGTGAAATTTCCTATACATGCTGTGATTATGTTTCTTTTCTGGTCAGTGTTTGCTTTTTTTAATTAAATGTATTTGACATATAGCACTGTGTAAATGTAAGGTGTATAACATGTTGATTTGGTGCATTTATATATTGTAATATTGCCATTGTCATTGTTTGCTTTAAAACCTTTTTTTTTTTCAGTGTTTTAATGTTTATTTATTTTTGAGAGGAGAATAGCAGGGCAGGGGCAGAGAGAGGGAGACACAGAATCAAAGCAGGCTCCAGCTCCAGCTATCAGTGCAGGGCCCAATGGGCTGAAGCAGGCTGTGAGATCATGACCTGAGCCGAAGTCAGGCACTTAAACCGACTGAGCCACCCAGGCACCCGCTTTGAAAACTTTCTAATTATTGGGAGCCTGGGTGGCTGTCGACCGGTTGCCTGACTTCAGCTCAGGTATCACGATCTCAGCGGTCTGTGAGGCCCCAGCGTGGGGCTCTGGGCTGATGGCTCAGAAGCCTGGAGCCTGCTTCGATTCTGTGTCTCCTTCTCTCTCTGCCCCTCCCCCTTCATGTCTCATGCTCTGTCTCTCTGTCTCAAAAATAAATAAACGTTAAAAAAAATAAATAAAAGTAAAAAAAACAAAAAAACTTTCTAATTATATTTTCCTTTCTCTTGCATCATCTGCCCTTTCTGCTTCTTTAAGTTGTTCTGAACTACCACGGATAGCAACAACCTCAAAATTCCCATCCCCCCCCCCAGGGAAACCTCCTCCTCCTGAGCCCTCAAACTGGACTGGGCCTTAGCTGTCGTCCAGGATCTTATCCCCACTGTCCTGGATTGTATCCCTCTGCCTCCTAGATTCAAAATCCTCCTAGTTTTTTCAGCCAAGATGGATCAGCTTAATGGTTTGTGGCATTGGACTACAGATACTAGATAGCTTTATCCCATTGGGAATATTCCTGCAATCAGGCGGAACCATTGTCCTTGGATTAAGCAAAACCTCCCTCTCTGTTGACCGGCAGTCCCACTGTCTGGTCTTGGAACCACTCTTGCTTGGCTGTCTGCCTGCTGCCTTGCTGTCCTTGCTTGACAGCAGGTGCTAGCGCAGGCAGGACAGCCAAGCAAGGAGTGGTTCCAAGACCAGACAGTGGACTGCCGTCAACAGAGAGGAGGGTTTTGTTAATCCAAGGACCAAATGGCACCTGCCTGATTGCAGGAATATTCCCAATGGGATAAAGCTATCTAGTATCTGTAGTCCAATGCCACAAACCATTAAGCTGATCCATCTTGGCTGAAAAACTAGGAGGATTTTGAATCTAGGAGGCAGAGGATACAATCCAGGACAGTGGGGAAGTAAGATCCTGGACGACAGCTAAGGCCCAGTCCAGTTTGAGGGCTCAAGGAGGGAGGAGGGAGGTTTCCCT